GCAGTGCTATAGGAATGATATCATTAAGTTGGAAAGGGTGCAGAAAAGATTTAAAAGGATATAAGACCTGGACTGGAATGTTTGAGTTATAGGAAGTGGCTGGATAGGCTGGGACTCTTTTCACTGGAGCGTAGGAGGTTGAGGGGTGACCTTAGGCCATGAGGGGCATAGATAAGGTGAACATCAAAGGCCTATTCCCTAGGATTGGGGAGTTCAAAATAGAGAGTATATTTTTGAGGTGAAAGGAGAAAGATTTAAAAGGGACCTGAGGGGCAACATTTTCATGCAGAGGGTGGTTTTTATGTGAAATGAAATACCAGAGGAAGTGGTAGATACAGGTACAGTTACAACATTTAAAGGATGTTTGGACAGATACATGAATAGGAAACGTATAGAGGGATGTGGGCCAAATGCAGGTAAATGGGAATAGTTTAGTTTGGGACACTTGGTCGACATGGACGAGCTAGACCGAAGGGTCTGTTTCTGTGCTGTATGACTCTATGACTCTAGTATTGCGAGATGTGCTCTGAAACTCACCTATGTTTTCACATCTGCAGCTGAACTTCTATGACAAAACAGATCATCTTTTTGTGTAATTGGCACTTCATTGATTATCTGTCAGAGTTTAAAAATACCTTCTACCAAATGATCGGTGTAAATATATTAACTTTTGCTTTGGATTTAATCCTGTTTAAGAATCTGTTTTGGCGAAATATCAGGCATGTAATGTATTCTTTTAATTCTTTATTGTTGCATTGGATGTGGGCATGGCTGGCAAGGCAAGCATCTGTTGCCTATTCCTTTGAACTGATGGCTCTCTCGGCCATTTCAAGGGGCAGATAAAAGTCAGCTACATTTCTGTGGGTCTGAGGTCACATGTAGGCCAGATCAAGCAAGGCACGTTTCCTTCTCTACAGGACATTAGTGAACATGATTTAAATAATAGTCAAGCAATTCTTGAAATACTTGACATCAGAAATGTGTGGCTGTTAATTAATACTTAATGTTTTTTTAAAATTCCTATATATTCTTGGATTTTCTTACCAATGATCGAAGCTTTCTTGCTTGGTCAGCTCTCCTATCTTGAAAGTGTTGATTTTCATTTGGAGAAGTATTGCACAGTATGACCTTGCACATGATTGTTAATAGCCTTGACTGAGTGCTGGTATGTTATAGAACCTTCTAGGGTGAGTTGAACCAGTCACATTCACACCAGTCCAGACTTAACAGTCACTGCATAAAATGTAAGAGTTCAAGAAATACGGAGAACAGGCTGGGAAAATACGAATCAAATGATTTGCTCAAACGAAGTGTAAACAGAGATATGGATGGCTGGATTGCATGGGCTGCTTCTGTGATTTAGCCGCTGTGTATTTTGATGTAAATATAAAATAAGCTTTTTGATTTCTTACTGTTTTCCCAGTGAATATTCAAATCACATGAACCAAGAAGATCCCAGGTTGATTTCAGGTTTTTGAATTTGCAGATCACAGATGGGCTGGCAGTGATATTATAGTTAATGTCAACATTCTTGAGTTAAGTGAAGAATCGTTGGTTAGAACTCTTGCTATCACTGAACCTGGTTGGCAATGTGTGTTCTGTGAGGACGGAATATCTTTGGCAGTCATTAACTGTCATTGTTGAACTACCTGATGCATATGTTGGTTGGAACGTAGAAACCTAGGAGCTACAGTGAAGAGACAATGCATTAAATACTGTAAAATAATTCATCTATCAACTCTGCATATCACCAGATACTACAATCCCTTGGTGCTTTTGTTCCAATTTGACATTGCCCCATCTCTGTTCAGTCTCTTCGTCAGTAGGGTAACAATCTGTCCTGCAGAGCAGGATCAGAAGCCTGAAGTAATCATGCAGGTTGTTCAGCAATGAGACTGGCAGATAAGCCAAATTCCCAAACACAGACCCCGTTGCTTCTCAACATGTGGGAATCACTTTATTGCTGCCAAATGGTGTGGAACAACAAATTAGGGTGATCAAAGCTGACAATTCACAAATGTGTGGGTTGATGTGGCACAGTGTGACTTTAGTCAACCAATGTGCTAATTTAAAATTACTCTGCCTGTCATCTTAACAGAGGATTTAAAATCAATGGACCCATTGCAAATGGTAGAGCACAATTTAACACTAAAGAACTACAGCAAAAGGAAACAAAATAGTGATGGTTGCTGTTGCTGTTTAATACGTATACATTTTTCATGAAAAATGTATATGTATTAAATAGCAATGAGACCCATTTTGGTGATGAGGTTAAATCACTTTATAGGAACCCAGACTTTTGATAAGTTTATAAAACAATATGCTGTGAGGTCCCTCACTTTCTAGGCAACCCTTTGGATATGTTCCAAAGAATGCAGAGTGTATCCCTAGAAACAGGCATGTTTGTTACTTTAGGAGCAGCAGCTGGAATATGGTGACTTAAACATTTTTCACTGTATTTTTTGTAAAAATGCAAGTGACAATAAATTACTATTCTATTCAAGCACTTCAGAAATGCATAAATATATCAAAAGTCACTAAGTGAGAAAGGAATGATTAGACTGACAGTTCCACCACTACTTTTAATCTGATATGATTTTGCAGGCCAGTTGGTAGGAAGTGACCGTTGTCCAGTATACTAGGCTTGGTTCTATTATTTTGAGATTATCCACAGGATATTCCTGAAAATATTTGTGTCTGTTTTTAATTCTGTGTTATTTCAAACTAGAATACAGAGACATTTTTATATATAACAACACATTTTTTTGGAGAATGTTCCGGAGGAGAATATCTGGCATCGAATACAAACACAGAACTGACATTTTTGACTGTATGTAGGTGAATTGGATTTCTTTAAAAATATTTTCATTCCATGTCTAATTCTTGAACATGACATGTTACTTAACAGACCGTCTTCGAACCAACTATCAAGAATAGTGTGAATTAATTGCAGTATTTTATTTTTGTTATTCACTCAAGGGATGTGGTTAATTGAAGAATCAAAGTGATTGGTCAATGCCCATAGTTTAGGACACCATTGAGTTGGAAAAAAGTAGAGGTGAGATAAATGATGCAATTATGATTTAAATATTGTCAAGCCTGGATTTTTAAAGATTTGTAGATCTCAGGAGACAACATAGCCTGAGAAAAGTAAAAAGGCTGACAGGTTAGATGTGTTTGGAAAATTTGCAGAGATGACAGCTACCAATGTTTGAAATATTTACTAAAACAGCAAATGTTGGAAAGTCTCAGCGTCTGCTGAGAGAAATGTTAATATTTCAGTTTGGTAGTCTTTCATTACCCTCAATGGCTCTGTTTCTAAATTCTTTTTTTAAGTAAGGGTTACTTAGTGATTCTCCAAAACTAATTTAGAGAAAAAATGAAAAACTCCATCAGTCTGTCTTTCAGAAAACTATTCTAGCTTTTGGTTCACCTTAAATTGATTTATTTCGTTGAGTAGATTTGGAGTTTTAAAGAAGTTATTCTGTTTCTCCATTCACAGATGCTGCTAGAACTGAGTTTCTCCAGTATTTTCTGTTTCTACTTAATTGAGTTCCCTGGTTTGATGCCTTAGTTTGAAATAAGGGAACTGTGTAAGTTACTGAAAGAAAATATTATGTATTTTAGAAAAACCTGTTCTTGCTCAAGTACCTTACCCATGTTATAAAACTGCTGACCCATGACCGTGATTTTCTGTTCTGTATTTGAACTCTTTCTCAGTAGTACGTAGAGCTGGTTTAATGTTGCAAATTTCTGCTTAATGAGTGATAATGTGCGAGGAAACTACAGTGTAGTCTAATTGATGTAAGCTGACGTTTAACTAATTCTTTGGTTTCCAATTACATCAATGTGGCCTGACAGAGAGTACCTCAGCCTCAGAAATGGCATGGCTCAGCAGCTTGAGGAGAATGGCATTGTGTTGAAATTGGACTGCACATACATCAAAAAAATTACACATTGAGCGTTTTGGGTATTAGTATGTGCTGATACCTAAATAGTGCAGGGTGCCAATCGCACAGGACATAGTGCTGATTTCACAGCAGCAGAGAAAGAGAAATTGTGGTATAATTTAAAAAATGGACATTGGAGACCAGTTGCTTACCTTGAATATCAGTTATGAATTCTAGCAATGTTGACAGCATGAGCAGAGTCGAGCAAACTAAAGTCATACCAATGTTTTGTCCATGTAAAATATTTGCCAGTTGATTGGTAACGCACATTACTGTATAGTTTAAATTCTGAGAAATGCAATCCTGATCAAAATTGATATCCCTTTAGCTAACATTTATTCATTCTGTAGATTTATTGAATGCTTCTGGTTTGCTGGATGTCCAGGAATGAGAACCAAAACCATTGCTTATTTCTATCCTCAGTTAAGTTTAAAAGGCCAAATTTATGTGATTAAAGTAGGTTCATCTCCTTGCTTTTCCCTACCCAGTTTCAATCAGCTAGTTTGAGACATGAGCATTTCAGACTCTCAACTTGGGCATGCCTCCTGGACCTTCACTAACATTCAACTGAGTGTGGCTTGCACAAAAGCTAGCAAAGGTACATGCTATTCAAACTGTTACTAGATTTAGTCTCAAGTGTTTTGTACGAAGCTTATCAAAGCTTTTTTTAAAAAATCCTGTTCCTTAAATAGTGAAGTTTGCACAATACAGTGTAAGCTCACAACTTTTCTTTCCAACAATATTTACATATACAACCTTTTAAAAAATTAAAATATTATTCAAGGTGATATTTCAGTTATAAGAAGTTTGCCTTCTGTTTACATTTCATTGAATGCTGCATAAGATTACAATGTCTTGAAAATTTCAGCTAGTGTTCCGATTCTTCTTATTTTAAAAGATGCTCTGGGTTTTTTTATTTAAATGGAACATAATTATACCCATTCATGAAGTAGTAGTAAGAATTTAAGTACGTGTTTAAAATAATTTATACTATTAATAACACTTACTTTAAACTATTTCCCTCTGACCCCACCCTAACTCCTCAAACAGGAAAGAGCTGTCTCCCTAAAAAGCTAGTGGAAGTAAACGATTGAAGCAAACTGGGGACCCACTGAATATTGGACTAAAAAATCATAGAAGACATAGCATTCCTAAAGTGTAGCTGTTCTGAGTTTATTGGGTTGAAGCAACGGACATCCAACCATGTCAATAGCCCTGAAGCAGGTATTCAATAAAGACAAGACCTTTCGGCCAAAGAGGAAATTTGAACCAGGTACTCAAAGGTTTGAACTCCATAAGAAAGCACAGGCCTCATTAAGCTCAGGAGTGGACCTGAAGGGAGCTGTCCAGCTACCCAGTGGTGAAGACCTTAATGATTGGATTGCAGTTCATGTGGTGGACTTCTTTAATCGCATTAACCTGATCTATGGGACAATCTGTGAGTTCTGTACTGAAAGAAGCTGCCCTATCATGTCAGGAGGACAGAAGTATGAATACCGGTGGCAGGACGATCACAAATACAAAAGACCCACCGCCCTTCCAGCTCCCCAGTACATGAGCCTGTTGATGGATTGGATTGAGGTCCAAATCAACAATGAAGAAATCTTCCCGACAAGCATTGGTGAGTTATTGTTTACTTCAGGGGAAGGAATTTTTAATACTAGGAGAATATTGGGACTAATTTTAACTATTCTGACCATTAAAAAACTGAGAAGATTGGCTTGAATTGTTGTATTGCACCCTGTCTGATTTTACTCTCTGTTAAAGTTATTGGAGAGCAATATTGGCTAATGGGTAAACTGGTGTTCCACATAATCCCATAGCATTTCCAGACAACAAGTTAAGTCAAATAAGCTATTGTTTCTGTGTACAGCCCTGTTTTTCTGACTGACATTATTGTAAAATAAAGGAAAAGGTCATTGTGGGGATTATGCCTATATTTCGTTGATGTGTGAAATCACTAGGTGAAGCTCTCCAACATTTGCATACATTTGAAAATCAATTGCTGTGCCTAAACTGTCACTAGTTTCATACATTGTTGTAACAGTTAAACATTCTCAACCTCAGATGAAAACTTTCAAGTGCAATATTTGAACATTGAAAACATGAATGATAAGGTGAGTAGATTAGAATGCAATTGACAATAGATTACATGATCCAAGGACGTTGCTGATTATCCACTCAATAAACACAACTTTTTGATGGTTTAAAAAAAAGATTTGAAATTCTATGCTGCACTCAATATTTAAGAAACTTCAGTATTGAGTGATTTGTGAGCAAATGCGGGAATTAATTTCAGATAAATGCCGGTAGGGATCAAATAGATGAGAATATTGGATGTTAACTATAAGGTTCATAAAATCTTGGTAGAGGAATGGGAGATTTCTGACATGACCAATGTTTTAATTGATTCTTTTATGCTTCCATATTGGGTATAAGAAATAAGAACAGTGTCGCTGGGAACAGCGAACTAACTGTTAACATCTTAATTATGTCCAATTTTTAAACTCTCCCTTCAGTTGAAAATTGACGGCATTTTGTAACTCTCATAGGAATAGTAAATGACATGGAGAATGACAGTGGTTGTGTTGAGTGAGCTGTGTTGTGTTATCAGCACACTGTAACATTTACCCCAAATCTGTCAGTCATCTATTCATTCTAGTGGACTGAGTGATAAGTGGAATTGAGTCCACCATGTGGGAAGAATGTGCAGGCAGCCACAGAAGATGGCAAGTGCAGAGTTGTGTTGCCTATAAGACTTACCCTGTTGCTGCTGGACTCTGCTAATAGGTAATGAGACAACAAGAAAAAAACACCTTTTCCCCTCACACCCTCAGCTCCCTGCATAAACTGCATGTCCCAACTTCGTGTGTCATGCCCCCTACCATCATCCATGCTAAAATTTACCTCCTCCTCAACTCCATGGTCCTTTATTTATTTTTTTCAATTTAACCTATTTTTCTAAATTGACCTGTTCAGTGATACTATTACACACCTCTGGAACAGATGGGACCTGAACCCAGTCCTCTTGGTTCAGGGGTAAGGACACTACCGCTGTGCCACAAGAGAGCCCTGGTCCATGGTTCTTTATAGGCCTTCTACTAAATTAGTGTCAACTAATGCCAATGTATGTCCCCACCTAACTCTTTTGCCCTTACATCTTCCATGCCAACTGCCCACTGCCTCCATGCCCAGTATCCACCATACACAGACCTCAGAATCCATTGAGATGAAGCTCCAGTACAAATTGATGAATTCATTGATAACATAGAAACATAGCAACATAGAAACAAGGAGTAGGAGTAGGCCATTCAACCTTTTGAGCCTGTTCTGCCATTCAATAAGTTCATAGCTGATCCTTTACCTCAATGCTATATTTCTGCTTTCCTCTATACCTCATGATGACTTTAGAATCTAAAAGAAATCTCTTTCTTGAATATATTCAGTGACTTGACCTCTAGTCTTCTTTGATAGAATTCCACAGCTTCACTACCCTTTGTGATTTTAAAAAAAAGTCTTCATTCAGTCATAATTGCTCTACCTGTATTCTGAAACTGTTAACCCAAGTTCTTCACTTTCCAGCCAGGAAGACATCCTCCCTGTATTCTAGACTGTCCAGCCCTGTTAGAATTTTATATGTTTCAATTAGATCCCCTCTCATCCTTCTAAACTCTAGTGAATATAGGCCCAGTCAGACAAATCAGTTCTCAAAGGACAGTTCTGCCATCTCTGATATTAGTCCAGTCAACCTCCTTTGCATTCCTCATGGCAACTATGTTCTTGCTTAGGTAGGGAGACCAAAACTGCATGCAGTACTCCAGGTGTGATTTCACCAACTCCCTGTATAACTGCAGTAAGACATCCCTCCTTTTGAACTCAAATCCTCTTACAACGAGAGCCAGTATACCATTTGCTCTCCTCATTGCTTGCTGCATCTGTTTGTCTACTTTTATTAGGAGCAAATTACTGCAAATGCTGGAATCTGTACTGAAAAAAAAACAAATACTGGAGATCACAGGGAGTCAGACAGCATCCATGGAGAGAGAGCAAGCTAACATTTACTTTTATTGACTGGTGTACAAGGATACCCAGATCACTTTGTACATCCACATTTCCCACATTTCTCTGCCTTTGTTTTTCACACCCAGGTGCATAACTTCATATTTAGCTACATTGTACTGCATTAGCCCACTCAGCTCGTCTAAGCCATTTTGAAGTATCCTTGCATTCTCATCACAACTCACAGTCCTGACCAGTTTTCTATCACCAGCAAACTTGGATATGTTGCATATGGTTGCTTCACCCAGGTCATCCAGATATATTGCGATTAGCTGCGGCCCAAGCTAACTTTAGTGGTAGCCCACTGTCAGCTGGAAAAAAACCCATTTATTCCCAATCTTTGTATCCAGTTTGTCAACTAATTCTCATTCCATGCCAATAAATTAACCCCTATCCCAGTTCTTTAATTTTGCCCACTACTCTCTCCTGGGACCTTGTCAAGCCTTCTGAAAATCCAAAACACTATATCCACTTTTTCTTCCTTATTCTACCATCTACATCCTTAAAAACCTCTCTTTGTTAAGCATGATTTGCTTTTCATAAACCCATGCTGGCTTTGTCCAATCCGTTGCCTACATTTAACTTTTTTCAACTTCCTTGTGAAAACAAGCATTAGTAACCATAGCACTATTTCAAAGATTTTATAAGCACATGGAACTGTCAATCACACTGCAATCTAACAGGCACCCCATTTGTGATAATGGTAGGTTATGAACTCATAGAGTGAAATAGCAAGGACTGAATTTTTTCACATTGCAGTATTCTTAAAAATTTGTAAACTGTGAGATTTAACTGCTTTGATCACTGAAAGTTCATTTGACTGCTTGGCAGGTCCAATTACTTTAGCTACTTTGTACGCACATTTATGCCTTTAGATTTTGATAATCTAAAAGACCACTTGACCACTCCCAAATAGCACCTAATCTTAATTTTCCAAAAGGTCTTGTTACTTCTCACAAACATCTCCCTTGACAAATCAAAAATAATTCCTTTCCTCTCCTAAGGTATGCCCTACCTCTCCAAAGAACTGTGGCAGCTTTAAACCTTCTCCTGAAAGTGTTTTGGATATTGTACCAGTGAGAAGTACAAGGGATCAACCTTCAATTGGATAGATTTACATCTCCGTACAAAAGGCATTCTGTATATTATTTTCCTGCCAGAATCCCTGGAATTTGCTGACCAAATACTTTAATATTTGCGGTTGCCTCCGTGAACTCCGTAAAATTAGTCTTTAATCTATGTGCTGCAAAGTTCCTAAGCTATGTCTAAATGGCATATTATTTTATTGAGAATAAACTTCATTTATTTTGTAACAGTTTTCTAATCCATTGCTGCAACTTGTTTATTCCCAATCAACCTTTCATTGTTAGGAAGGGGCTTTAGATCAATCATGATCCATCAAAATGTTGTCCAGTCTTGTTGAAGAGAACAGGCAGACAATTTAGATGGCAACTAGCAGATTAACAAACATCCAGGTATGTGAGCTTTCAAATGTGAGCTTCAGCCCTTTTAGCAAGATGGGACATCACACTAAATATTGGCTAAGCTGGCTTTTCACCTTAACACTCCAACTCGGCCTCTTCACAAGCTCTTTTGTATCTAAAATGTCAGGGAATAAACATTGCATTCACAATGCTTCAATAATGCTGGAATGATGTGTGTTCTGGAATTCAAAAAGCATACCTTCACTCCTTTTATGAATCTTCACCTCAGATTCAATCTAAGTCACAATTAGGGAAGATGTTGTGTAGGAGGTCTGTGTTCTTTGCTGTTTTGCACATTCCTGTTGCTGCTGTGCTAATAAGTTGTTTCAAAAAAATGCGGCTGTGTCACAAAGCACTGTTGTGTAGGAACACAGATAACCACCACGTAACTATTGTTCTTAAATTTTAAAATGAAGCATTTCGAGCAATGTAAGGATGGTTTTTTCAGAGTACAAACATTAAAAAATAAATATCACAGGAAACTAAAGCAGCATGAGCTATCCATTGCGCAAGATGTACTTTACAATTATCTACAGATTCAGGACTTATTATCGACTGCCTGTCCTAAGTAAATATTTCAAATACCTGAACATTTTCAAATAAAGAAGTTAGATTGATCCTTACAATGTTAGCAGAGGCTTGACTTCCCAACTCTGGGAGCGTGGTGAAGAGAAGGGATAAGGGATCCACCTTCAATTGGATGGATTTGCGAAAAGGGATCCCGTAAATTCTTGGATAAATTCCAGAGGCCCAGTTATGACTGTGATTTGCTGTAGGAAGGAGGCCAGAACAATATGTTTACAATCTTCAAAGGGAAAATCACTGTTTCCAGTTCATGGTTTGAATCCTAGTATGTCTGTGCAGAGAATTACTCATAAATGTATGCTTTTTTCTGAAATTTGGAGTTATTTTAAATTTGTTTTTAATCTTTTTGAAATTTTATTGTTTTGTAATGCTGTGTCTAAGTGCTGTTTGCTGAAGGACAGAGTGAATGAGCGTAACTTGATTGTGGTATTTTCCACAATCTAGTTCTCTGACAATATTCATGTCTCCCTGCAGCGAGAAGAACGGCCACTTA